TGTGTGTGTGTGTGTGTGTGTGTGTGTGTGTGTGTGTGTGTGTGTGTGTTGCCTTACAGTTAGGGTGTTTATTCGGTTCTATGTTGCCTTACAGTTAGGGTGTTTATTCGGTTCTAGAGTGTGAAAATGCATAGGCCTCTGTTTTGTATGATCTCTGCTAGGCTCATTTCCTGTTGTTTGCTTCATCCAATGAGATGAAAGCTTTTGCTTGTGTGTTAGTTTCGTTTTATATTATTATATTAAGTAGATTATATTAATCATCCCCCCTTAGTTTGTTTTTTAATTTTGCTTTCACATAAGAGATAGAAAGGGTCTGGATCCAGATGGGAAGGGAGGTGGGAAGAAACTGGGAGTGGGGAAGGAACAGTAAGGAATATGAGGAAGCGAATAATATGTGATCAAGATATATTATTGAAGAAAAAGTTCTATTTTCAATAGAAGAAAAACATTTTTAAAAAGTCCTTGTCAGTGGTCTGTCTGATTTGACCACACAAGTTGACAATGAGTGAATTTCCCCTTTCCTACTTCTTTATCTCATCCTGACAAAGTCAAAAGAACAGACAGAGAGAAGTAGGAAGTCTACAACTTTTGTAGAAATGGATGATCTCAACCTTCCCTTCTGTGTGACTTCATCCACAGGAGAATGGGAGCAGTATACCAACTAATTTGAATAATAAAATTGAAACTACGCTAAATGAGACTCCAGAGACACACAGGGAAGATAATAGATGGATATATCTAAGATGTTGCTAAGGAGACAAATTCAGTGAAACATGATTGAAAACGATAAGATGAGAAAATAGCCATTCCATGTTTGTACTGTAACCACTTAAATTAAAAAAGTTCTTAGCACTTAGTCATAGTGAAGATTCGTGGTAATTTTGTTTTCAGACATTTGACTATGAAAGTTGGTTTAGAGGCATGATCAACTTTTTTAAAGTACCCCAATATTTCTGATTCTGTAATAGAATTAATGTATTTTTAATTATGATCTCATTCATTGATTCCAATAACTCTATCCACACTAATTTAGTGTGGTTCTAAACTAAGCTATGCATTTTTCCCTTTGCCAGTTGATGATCTTGGGTTTGGATAGGGAGATCTCATTGCTATTGACAAATTTATTACTAAATGAATAAAAGATAACACCAATTTTTTTCTATGCTGTGACATATCTTGTGCCTTTTATTAACAGACACATTACACTTAAACATACATTCAAAGGGCATAAAATTAAAAGAAGCTTCATGAAGGTGTACCACGTGATTGAAAGAAACAGATGTCACCAGTCACGTATACACATTTCAGGAGACGGATATAATATTCAGCTATTTGCAGGTCAAGTTGCAGGCAGAACGAATACATATATAGAGCAAAAAAATGAATTCTTTCATCAGTTATCTGCAAAGTTCCCAGATCTGACCAGACTGGGAAGTCTTCATTTTCTTGGATTGCAGGATTAACCTATTGACCAGAAAGGATAGGTGCTTATTATCACTATTTGTGTCCATTTGACCTTTCCCCTTCTAAATGCTGAATCATACTTAAGCAAATACTATAAATGTGAAATTTCAGTTACAGGCATGGATTTCCATGTTTTTATTTTTTAAATAATAGAACACTGTAAGTTATTTTATCATCTAGAAGCAAGACTTATATACATTTTTTTGTTTAAAGTTAAATTTAAAGTTAATTATAATAAGACAGATGGAACATCAGGACTCTGGTAACTGAGCATAGACTCTGTCCAAGGGACAATGGAAGAACTGTGTTAGTTCTTTCACTTAAGAAGCATTTTGGCCAGGGTTGATTATGTTAAGAATATCTAACGTGGTACTTGAGGGTATTCCTATCAGCCCAGAACTCACAATATTTTTATCTGTCTTGTAATGAAGAAGCTGAAAACAAGGTTAGATGCCTAACTTTGTTCTTGCAATGTTAAGTGTTTCAAAGTTTAACACTCACTACAGATATCACATTATCCATAAAGCAGAGAATCAGAGGGTAAGAAGATTACTCACCTTATGTACTAGCTTCTCGAAGTGCTCTAGAAAGATTTTGTGTTGGTCCTCAATGGCTTTGGCCATTGACAGGATAACATCGGGGACCCCTGGCATAGCACTGAGTTCCTTCACTAGATGTTTCAGAGGATCTTTCCAGTCACGCAGTATACGGAGTGTCGTATTTGATAGGTCTTCAACCTATGGAACAGTTATTGAACAATCATTAAGATAAGCGAAATATAGGACTAGTTACACGTGACTGTTAATTAGGGAGCAGAAACTAACCCATCATCTGCTATTCTTATGGGTAAGTGTGATTTTCTTGAGAGGAAAATGATATAGCAATGTAAAAGTCAAAATATTCACCTGTGATTTTTAAAAAATGAAACAGCTTATCTAAATAATAGTTTCTATAAACTATATCATTTAACATGCTCTGTTTTTTGTCTGAAATTCTACCATCTGCTTTCCCGGTAAGGCATTATATATTTGATTGTTTTGTTCATCCATGAGACAGACCCCCCCAAGGCTTTCTTGAACTGAGGAGGAGCTCACTGGACTAGAATCAGGAAGATAGATATTAACAGTTTCAACAGCAAATCATTTAAATCATATTTATGGCATCAGTTAGAGAGGATGTTTGCAAAATATTCATTATGAACTTTAGGATAGTAATAGAAATGTACTTTGTAGACAATCTGTCATTAATAAATATGGTTCTTTGGTCTACAACACTCCCTCCTTTTGTCTCTAACAAGTATACTGAAGAACAATGGGGCTCGTTGCATGCATAGACTCAACAGTTCAATTTTAATGGTTCAATATATGTCAGAATTGTATTTGAACCTTATGACTAATTTATAGTGTTTGCTATGTTCATGTCTTTTAACTAATGTAGTGATAGGAAGAGTGAAGAGCAGAACAGTGTTCAATAAACACTGGCAGAAATGTGGGAAGAATATGACGGGAAGGGGCAGGTGCAAAGTTATGGCAGTACAGGTAGCTGGGAGAAGGTGAATAAGAGAGAGGATTTGAATTTGATGAAGTTCAAAATTCCATTATGACTGGGCTGGCTGATATACACATTCCACAAAACATTTCAAAGCATTCATTTCCTTATCCAAGATACAGTTTGGTAGGATTAATTAAAACAATGTCAGTAAACTACTTTGTGACATTTCTACAATAAAGTAAGTCTTCAGAAGCATTGTGTCCCCACCTTACCCTCCTTTTACTTTACTAATTATAAGTGATGCCTAAGTTAATAAATTGGGGGGTAAGTTATGGTCATGGGTAAGAAAGAAGAGGTCATAACAAAACTTAATCAGAACTGTTTGACTTCTCATCACAACTGAGGAAATGATATCCTGTTGGGAAGCAGTAGACAGTATTTATAAGACTCCCTTGGCCAGGTACTTTCAGTTAAGACACAGAAGAAATTATAAAGTCAAGAAGTTTGGCATTCAAATGGAAGAAGCAAACGTAGAACCAGGATATTTGGGATAGAAGAATTAGCTCAGTGGTCAATAATGACAGGCATATCAATGTGGAGACAATACGAATTTATAATAAAGACTATTGGGTTTGCATATCTTAACCAAATACACGAATGTGTTTTTTAAAAAAGTAGGCACTGAGTTTTGTTCAAAGTTTCCTACAGAATAATAAGTCAATTCTGAGTGGCAACACATTATTAAAATAAGATCTTTTTTTTGGTTGGGAGACTTTGGATGATCCCAGATAAGACCCTAAACAATAGAAGAGAAGGTGTCTGAACTGGTCTTGTCCTGTACTCAGACTGATGATTATCTTAAATATCACCATAGAACTTTTGTTCGGTAACTGATGGAAACAGAGGCAAAGGCCTGCACCAGAGCACTGGACTGAGCTCCCAAAGTACTGTTAAAGAATGGGAGGAGTGAGAATATGAACAAAGAGGTCAAGACCATGATGAGGACACCCTCTGAAACAGTCTACCTGGGCTAATGGGAGCTCACCAACTCCACTTGGACAGGGAAGGAAACAGCATAGGTTCAAACTATGAATGTAGTCCCTCTGAATGTAGGTGACAGTTGTATGGCTAGGGGAAACTGCGGGGCCAATGGCAGTGGCACCAGGATTTATCCCTACTGCTTGTACTAGAATTTTGGAACTTCTCTATGAACAGATACCTCGCTCAGTCTATATGTGGTAGGGAGGGCCTTGGACCTTCCCCAAAGCAATGTGCCTTGCTGTCTCTGAGGAGTGGATGAGGATAAGGTGGGGGGGTTAGGTAGGGAGGAGGGTAAGAGGGGAGGGAGTGGAAACTAAGCTTGGTATGGAAAATGAAAAAAATTCTCTTTAAAAAATTAATTATTTATTTAATTAATTAATTAAAATTAAGATATTTTAAATGGTCGGTTTATAACAATCTGCTACACTATTATGCAATATCTGAGTTCCTTTGTAATTTATCAGGTAGATACTGTGGTTTTTATTTCACTTGGCATTCCTGCCCTTCTGATTACCACACCCCTGGCAGCACTCATAGGAAGGTGCACCATGGCAAAGTCAGGGCAGAAATTTAGCTGTTCAGATGAAATGCCGAGGACGCACCAAGGTCTTCCTGACATCCTCTTTTGGGTTAGGAGATTCGATGGGAAGAATGTGGCAGTGTTTTGAGAGTTTATCCATTTCCTTGTTCTGGTACAAACTTAAGATCTGAAAATGTTCAAGAGGAAATTTGAGTTAACTGATATTTAAAAATTTTAAAAAAAAATGAGCTAGCAACCAAAATAGTAATACATTAATAGATGTGTAACTTTTACAAATAAGCATTGCATAAAATCTACAATTAAGAGAGTAACTCTTTTACTTAATATTCCATTTAAGTCAATAAATTCATTTGACTTTTCATCTAAGTTTCTAATATCCCATCCTTTTTCCTATTTAGCATTTTACTGTTCTATCACTAATCCTAAAATTTACTATATAACGTAAAGATAACCCCTAAATATAGTAAAGGCAAAAACATGGAACATTTTAAACATCATTTTTCAGTGAGATTTGGGCATAATGTCATAGTAAATATGTATCATTATTAATTAATTTCTTTCTTTGTATTAGTTCAAATTCATTTTTAAAACTAGGTATTATATAAATTATCCATTTTCTTTCTGTTTCCAGTGAATATATACACCTATACCATTCAAAGTCTATCATATATCATGAATGAAATTGTATCAATTGTAACAAAATTAAACATAAATGTTAACCATTTTAGGAAATACTAAAGTTCAAAATAAGATACTAATTAAGGTAACATATTACTGAATACATAATCAAAATTATTTTCTTTTTGAAACCTTTACAATTTTTTTCATAAATATAAACACTAAAGAGTAAAACATAAATTTGAGAATAACTTGAACAGTCATTTTATCCGTTGCAAAACATATTCCCAGAAGTTGTCCAGTTTTCATCCTGCTTACAGTGGCTGAGGTTTCCTTCACCCTTCACCTGTGCAGGTGTTTTATTTGAATTGGTTCTTGCTGCTTTTTTATGAAAGTTGCAGTGCAATCATTAGCATGGATACTTTGTGGAGGAGAGAGAAGTCAGTGAAGATACTTACAATTTGATTGAATATTCTTGAAGAGTAGTTGTTGTGGAACTAAAACAGAATAGAGCAATGAAAGAAAATGTGTGAGTAAACATCACGAATACATTTTATTGCAAATGAAGGGACACATGTTCTGGGTACCCCTGTTATTAAAGCCCTGTCAATTGTCTCCTTCTTGATTGACCTTTACACAGATAATATACAATCCCTTTTCACCTCTAACTCAGTCTTCCCTTGAATAAACTCATGCAATAGAAACCTTTAAGAAAAAAAAAAGATTTCTAGATGGAGGGGTTTCTGAGAACAGAGTATATCTATTTACTTTCTTGACATCTTCTGAGTTTAGATTAGTTCTATTCATTCTATTCAACTCCCAATTGTGCACTTTTTCCTCTATTAATGTTTAATGTCTGCTAACTGAAGATGCCTTGAAGACTGGCCTGCTGCAAATAACGTAAGGAAGTTCAAGTTCTTCAGCAGTTACATCTTCTAGGTTTTTATGTCATGACTGCAAATTTAGGAAAAGTTATTTTTATATGTGTTTTTTTCAAAAAGTTACATAGAGGCAAATAATTCTTCCTTCTTCCTTCCTTCCTTCCTTCTTTCCTTCCTTCCTTCCTTCCTTCCTTCCTTCCTTCCTTCCTTCCTTC